ATACTGATACTGATACTCATATATATATATATATATATATATATATATATATATATATATATATATATGCGCATTTAGAAACAAGTTATTGCTCCGACTAAGTTGATATTCTATTTACTTGCATTGTACAACATAGTTATTCGAAGGATAAACCATACATATATATTAATTATTTGCAGTACTAGAACTCTCCTAAACAAAATAGACAAAATTAACGTGATATATGTTAATTATATATATATGTATATGACTTCACTCCATTGGCTCGACCAGTCGTCTTATATATTGTGAAGCGCATATGCGTGCAGAGCTGTAGCGGTCTAGATTTCACAAGAATGAACAAGCAATGCTAGGATATGCGGCTTGAGCACTTTTTCCGGATTTGTGTATCCATCTTGGTTGTGCTTGTAAGTGACATCCATTAATTTTGCAAAGTTGAAAACTTGAACGAGAATTTCCTTAGAAACACGATTATCCATGAGCCCGTCATTCAAGTCTTTCCATGAATTCTCAGCAATTTCATTAAAGTGTTTCAATGCTACTTGTGTTGACACACCATGCTCCTTTTTATAGCAATCAATCCCAATCGTTACTTGCCCTCTACCATTCTCCAACTAATCCATATGTATAGAAAGAAAAACGAGAAAAAAAAAGCATCACGTATTAATTAATTTAATATAGATCTAATCTTATTTAAGTAGATTTAATTTGCGCATATACCTCATATGTGGCAATGTCATCAATGACACGAACTATTAGGTTAACAACTTGGAGAATTTTAGGTTTAGCTAGTAACCAATCAAATACTTCGATTTTTGCAATAGCCGAGCTAATGAAAGATGTTACTACTGCAGCGTCAGTTGCAGCTGTAGTCATGGCATTGCTCATGTACTCATCAAATGATGATGGCAAATAACCTTCCGTGAACCATTTCGCCTCAACGTAGTAACACTTCACAAGTTCTTTCATCTTGTGATTGATCAAAACATAGGGAAGCGTAAAGTTAATGTAAATGGTAGTATATATATAAATATATAAAACAGTATTGTTTTTCAAAAATAAATAATAAAAAAATGAATTATACATATAAGACATTTTTTTAGCCATACATACCGCCTCCCTGGCATAATGAACAGCAAATGATCTTCCTTTAGGAGATAACTCTGCATCGAAAGCTTCATAAAGATCTAATACAGCTCCGTACAAAATCTTCATGTAGTTTGGAAGTCGGTCCATTTCGCTTATATCCCATCTAACACGTAAATTTCTCCATTTATTATCACAACATTGAAAATAAAAAAGAAAAAAAATATACTGTGTTCAATAGAAACAGTCTTACTTTTGTATGGCCTCGGTGAAAACTTGTAGTTCTTCAATTGTTCCATATGTATCGTATGTATCGTCTATCACAGATATCATAGCTGCGGTTTTAGCAAGGATGATTCGAGCATTAGAATGTCGGGGCTCGGGCGGATAAATCCCCAAAGTCCAAAAATAAAGCTCTACAACTCTATCTCTAGCATAAGAAAGCCGGGAAATAAGGTCCATCTCCTTCCACCACCTATACACACGAATAATATGAAAACTTCCACTACAAGAAAAAAAATGTCATTAAATACATATATTAAATGCTAATATTTGTTTTGTCACAACTCTATTTGTTCTCACTTAATATTTTTTTACTATCACTTGACATCCAAGTGACAAGTATAGTGACAATATGTTTTACCTAATCATGTGAAAATATGTGTTGTCACTCAAGACATTAATTTTTAGTAGAGTTCATGAAGCAATTTTTTTTATTCTCAAACTAAGGGGTAAACTGCATAAAACCCCTTTGCGTTATTGAAATATGCACCGAATACCATGCGTTAATTTTATTTTCTGGTAGAGTTCATGAAGCAATTTTTTTTTATCCTCAAACTAAGGGGTAAACTGCATAAAACCCCTTTGCGTTATTGAAATATGCACCGGATACCATGCGTTAATTTTATTTTCTGGTAGAGTTCATGAAGCAATTTTTTTCATCCTCAAACTAAGGGGTAAACTGCATAAAACCCCTTTGTGTTACTCAAAATATGCACCGAATACCATGTGTTAATTTTATTAGTGTAAAACCCCTATGTTTTTTATTGTATCTTGCATGAAATTTTCTATTCCGTTAAACAATAACACCGGTAACTACTTAGAAATTTTCATGCAATGTTTTAGCAACAGAAGAGGGGTTGATGTATGTTTTCTTCAATATCTAAGGGAATTTATGCAAAATTATTCTATTTATTTAAAATTCAAATCATTTTTTTAAATCAAGTCAAACACATAGTCCATTGCAATATGAAAAATTAAAAAAATAATGATAAAGATAAAATCTCTAACATTTTTTTTTTAATTTTGCCATTTCCAATTAAAATGTTTAAATCTTAGAACATTTTTTTATGATTATCATTTGGATTTTTAAAATTTTATTGGCTTTTTTTTTTAAACTTTCTGCATCAATTTTTTTTTAAATCAAGCCAAACACATAGTGCATTACAATATGTGAAATTAAAAAATAATGATAAAGATGAAATCTCTAACAATTTTTTTTTTGCCATTTCCAATTAAACTGTTTAAATGTTAGAACATTGTTTTCTCATTTTTCCATGATGATGATTTGGATTTAAAAAAATTATTCGATTTTTTTTTATTAAAATTTTTTGCATCAAAGTTGAAACTAAATACAATTTTGGAAATTTTCAGTTTTGAAAAAAAAAAATTAATTTATTAATATATTTAAAAATAATATTTTTTTCAAAATTATATATTTATAATATCGAAAGTGTTATATATTTAGATAATTTAGTATGGGTGTATTATATGTCAAAAGATTACAAATAATATGAAAATTTAAATTTAGTTTTCATATAAAGATTTCTATTAATAATTTCGAAAATTCAACTTTGAAAGATTGAATAAATATGTTTAAACTTAATTCGATTTTTTTTTCAAATATTAAGTAAATGAATATTTTTTTGCACAAAATTCCACTTGTATTGTAAATAACATCTACCAAACTCCCATGTGTTACGAAAAAATTGTATGAAATCCCCTCAATAGTTATCAGTGTTATCTATTAACGAAATAGGAGATTTCATGCAAGATAAATAAAACATAGGGGTTCTACGCAATAACATAAAATAAATAGTTTTGCCCGTTCTGGTTCAGATTTTCCTTAACAAATGGCGCTTTTATACTGTTTACCCTCAAACTAAGTACGAAAGTTAATATCTCTCTCTCTCTCTCTCTCTCTCTCTCTCTCTCTCTCTCTCTCTCTCTCTCTCTCTCTCTCTCTCTCTCTCTCTCTCTCTCTCTCTCTCTCTCTCTCTCTCTCTCTCTCTCTCTCTCTCTCTCTCTCTCTATATATATATATATATATATATATATATATATATATATTACCTCATGACTTGACAGAGTTCCTCTTTGTGATGCATTTGTAGTAAATTAAAATCCAATTTCGCCAGCCTCAACAACGATTCACTGTTCGATTCATCTTGTTCGTAGAGTGAGATGAAATTGCGTGATTCAACTCTTGGAATGCCTCGGAAGAACGATTGATCAAGAGCATGCAAAACTTGTTTCTTGAGAGGCGATTCGGTTAAATTAGGAGCAACAAATTCAAGATGAGCTTTAGAGAAAGAAAAAGCCTTGTCCATAATCTCCTCTCCTTGTCTTCTTAAATATGTTGCTTCATATAGGCTTAACACACCCTTCACCTCATCAATATTACTCACAACGGTCTTCTTAAATTTACCATTATTTTCTGTAAATCTTTTGAATATGGCTGCATATATATAAATCCAAAGCGAAGTAAGAATTCAGTTTAATAAATTATTACTAGTTTAATATTATAGAAATTGAATTTTGTACTTACAAGAAGGTGCATCCATGCCGTGCTGCCTCAGCAATCTGAACTGCAATGCGACGATAAATAAATCATCACTCTCTTCGTTTTCCAACTTGAGATGGCCGCCATTGAATGCCAATGAGAGTTGTTGTTGGATTTCATTTTCGAAATGGTACGATAAACCAAGGCGTTCAATTGTGTCAATCAAAACCAGTTTCTCCGACAATTTGCTGTCACCAGAGATTAACATATTTCTAGCTTCTTCCTTGAGAACCTCAATCTCTTTAGTGTACATGTCTAATAACTGCAAATAAATTTATATTATATATGATCAATGATTTCTTGAATTTATTACTATAAGACTTGCTAACTTACATATAAAAAGATAATGAAAAAGCGACGAAAAACCTGGATATCCATGTTAAATGAACTAAAAAGGCCACCCCACAAACTAGGAGGGAAATTAGCGACGACAGGCCGTACAATATTGTTCTGAGAGTTCATGTTGAGGTTGTTTGCTTCATAAGAGGCCGCCATTGCAAGAACATTCCTACAAGGATGTATAAAGCTGTATCGTTGTTTCCTTGTCTGAAAAAGATTTTGTTTTATACGATGATATGATGAAAGTGGTCGGAACTGCATGGGGGTTGCAGGAAAAGCCATCGCAGAACGGGAATGAGTAAATACTAGCCATGAAACAGAAACAACAGTAGAATATCCCATTGTTCTAATGTCTCATTTGAGCTTAGCTAAAGGTGCCAATTACATTGACAACATCAATATATATCCATACAAATCTGATATTACAAACCTACTCGACAAAAGAATATATAAACTTATTTGTCATAATATGTAATTGATCGTCAAATAAATTAATGAAACAATTAATAAATCAAAAACTAATATGTAATTGATCGTCAACTAAATTCAAATGTGATGTGACATAACATAGGGTACAATATTCTAATATTGTACTAAGTTCTAAAAACAATTAGCATTTAATATGGGAATTTATTATTTTTCAAAGTACTTTATAACAATAGTTTGGCACCACCGCTAGCTAGTTGTATGGTAAATGCTTTGGAAAGCAAAGTTACCAATACATTATTTTTAACTGAAAAAATTTATGGTCACGAATTCTTTTAATACATAGGTGTTATATTAAGTGTTATGACACTTGTATAAACATGCAGCGGAAATATAAAAACAATACTCATATCTAAAAATGTTCACAAGTAAAACTTGTGAACTTGCCCTTCAAAGGACGTAACAATGATATTAAAAACAGTATTACAAGAATACAAAGAGAAGAAGTACAAAAAACTTCTTCCTTATGAATGAATCACTATCTTGATCATTCTTACAATCAAATCTAGAAACAAAAAGATAAATACTAAAAATTCTAGATTTCAAAGAATGTACTCGTGAGGAGTACGTACAGCAGATTCTAGAAACACACTAAAACTCTCATGAATTATTTTCAACTCTCGGTTTTTGTTTCTTCGAATCCCACCAATGTTCTTGAGTCTTGAAGTTGGTATTTATAGACATTCCAAGCTTCCACTCCTCAGACCATGATCTGCAAGAAAACCAACTACAAGAGCACTCAAGAAAATGGGTTAGTGGGTTAGTTTAGTAGTTAAAATAATATTCACAATTTAACCCACTAAGCACTACTTAGCCCACTAAGCATTATACTTAGCCCACTAAGCCATAACTAAAATTTAGTTTGAAAGTAAGAGAGTTAAAAACATGTTGAGAGTATATTTTACACTCAATGTATACTTTCTAACGAGGATTTTTGTATACTTTTATTGATTTAATGATGCTTAATGAGTGGTTTATTGTATTTTAGGTACAACTTGACGATTTAATGATGCTTAATGAGTGGCTTAAACGAGCCAAAAAGGGTCAAAAACGGAAGAAAACAAAATATGCTGAAAATTGGCTGAAAAATGGTCCGCGCGGCCGTGCCAAATTTAGCATATTTTTGGCACGGCCGTGTGCCAACTACAGAAGTTGGGCAGAAGGTTTCGGCGATTCTCGCGCGGCCGTGTGAGAATTGCACTGATTCTCGCGCGGCCGTGCCAAAACACGCTGGAGACAATTTTGAACTTTTAATCACACAAGGAAACCTAAATTTTTCTACCAAGTTGGGACATCTATTTAAGCCCGAACCAAGCACGAATTAGAGAACTTTGAACATAATCTTAGAGGAAGAGGAGCGAGAGAACGAAGAAACGAAGATGGAGAATTGACAAATCTTCATCACGATTCTTCTTTCATCTATCTTTTCTTAATCTATGTCTTTTTATATTTTTATTATGTTTTTCGTAGGGAACATGCGTAGCTAAGTTTTTAATCTAGGATTTTGTTGGAACCCTATGTGGGGATGGTGAACCCGTTTTCTTGAGATTATGCAATTATGATTTTATGATTATTTCTTCTACTAGTTATGATTGTTAGTGCATGAACTTGATCAATTTATGTGATTTATCTGTGATTATTGGGATTGACTCGACAGAGCTATTTTGATTATTAGACGGTAGGTAAAAGAGCCTTCGAGTAGTTTTCACCGGATGAGTGTGTCAATTGCATGTGGTGTCGTAGACATACAGATATCACCTCAGGTAGCCATTTACGATACTTGTGAGTTAATGCTTTATTCATAATTGGTTTGCATAGACATATAGTGAATCGTTAATTACTAATAGACTCATAATACATGCAACAGCGGGTTGTGAGTAAATTAGTGTCTCGGGTTAATAATCATGAATCATATATTTCATAATTGAGGGGTTTTGGGTGAGCAATTTTTGCATAGGGGAAGATAAAATCCTAGGTCCGTTTTTATTGATATTTTCTCGTGTTTATTTGCTTTCATAATTAGTTTAATTATTTAGTTGATTAAATTTGACAACTTTGCGTAGGCTGGATAAAAATCATAATTGTTAGAATTTGGTACTTATGATTAGATAATTTGAGTATTCCCTGTCGGATCGACATCCGACTCTCACGAGTCCACTTTTACTACTTGTTTGCGATACGTGCACTTGCGTGTTAGGTATTTAGCCCCAACAAAACACATTGTGGAAATCCACGTGTTTCAATAACTACAAATATTTTTTTTCGGAATAATTTGAGAACTTAAGTAATGTTTATTTATAATTCGAAAGGAAACAAAATACACTCTAGTAGTCAAATCATGTTTAAAGGTGTTAAAAAAACGTATTTTGGAAGAAGAATTGAAAAAATAAAGTAATGTTCATTTGATTTTTAATGAAAATATTTTTAACTGTAGCAGTAAATCATGTCTGGAGTAAAGAGAAACTTTTAATTTTTTTGTGGGAATTATTTAAAAAAAAATAAACAAACACAAATTCATTGTTTCCGAGAAAGAATATAAATAAAATGGAAATTAAAATAAACATTGCCATATAGTATTTTATACAATTTTTATTATTTTTATATTATCGTAGTATTATTTTTTGCTCTCCTAGAAAATATGTTAGTATATATTAGTCCCCTTCTAGAAATATTTAGTATATACCGGCTCTCAAATATTCAAACATCAATAACATGACCAAATCCATTTTGAATTTTTATGAGAAAGTCCCTGACAATTCAACTTTATTAAACTAGGTTCACGTGTTTTTTTTTTCTTTCACAAATAAGTCCACCCATAACGATGCTCTGCATACAGGTGAACAAATTTCTTATATTATTAAATTAAATTCATCCGAACGTTGATTTTTTATTAAATTAATTAATAAATGAATGAATGAACTTATGAATGACACATCTAAGTATTTAATTAATTATGCATTTATATTCATTCACATCTAAGCATTTCACACATCTAAGTATTTTATTAATTAAATTAATAAATATAAATGAATGAACTTATGAATGACAGATCTAAGTATTAATTTAATTTTCTTAGTCATTATATAATATATAACATAACTAGCATAGTGTCACCATCTCCTACTAATTCTTAAAAACTCAGCATGTTATATAGAAATTTATTACTTTTCGAGAATTTGGTAATGTCGTCCCTACAAAAATGACGAAACTAACAAAGAAATCAATTCTATAACAGCACCGCTGCTAGCAGTACAGTAAACACTTAACGTTAACAAATATTCCCTCCCTTCCATAATATTTGTCACTTTGGAAAAAAATAAATATTCAATATTATTTGTCACTTTAAATTTCCAACACTTTATTAATTACTTAATTTCCATTTTATACCCTTATTAACTCTTTTCGAACACTCTTTTTAACTAAGTTATCACTCGTATTAATTATAAGGCAAGGTTATTTTAGTCTAAAAGCATACATTTTCCTTAAATCAAGACACATTTAATAAAATTCTTAATATTTGTGAAATGCTAAAAACGAGAATTAAAACGGAACGGAGATAGTAGAAAATTAAAAACTATAGGCATATGGTCATATCTGTTGTGAACTAATCAAAATATATATTTAATATTTGTTAATATAGTTATTGATAATGTTAATACTCCATAGTGTTGGAAAATATACTTGCTTACATATAACATTTAACATGATCTAGATTGAGTTTACATGAAGAGAATGTATTGTAGATCAGAAAGCGTTATTATAGAGCTATGTAGGAGGAACATGGAAACGTCGACACGGGGAAACGGTAAAATGTCCCAAGAACGGGGATACGAATACCTGCGGAAAACATATAAATATTAAAAGTATAGGAATATATTTATGGGTAAATTCCACTTTACCCCCTTGTACTCTGCCCAAGAACCACTTTACCCCCTCGTACTCTTAATTTCGTCGATTTACCCCCTTGTACTTGTACAATTTCCCAATACAACCCTCTTCGTCAACTTTTTTCGATTTTGACTCTGACGCCATTTGGTCAAGAGTCAAAATATTGACGTAAATATTGAATTTTTCCGATTTTGACTCTCGAGATTAGAAAAGAGAAAGTTTTTACACATTCATATATTTTTTTCTTTGCACTGGGTGGAATCGATCAATTTTTGGGTCTTGATTTTTACTAAGTTAGGGGTTCAATTTGGGGATATCTTGGAAGGGGAAGTGGTGGGAGAAGAAGAAATGACAATATTGACGGAGGAGAAACGACGCGTTATAGGCAGTGGCAATTTTGTAATTTACAGAGTTGACCAAATGGCGTTAGAGTCAAAATTGACAAAAATTGAAGGAAAGGGCTGTATTGGGAAATTGTGCAAGTACAAGGGGGTAAATCGATAAAATTGAGAGTACGAGGGGGTAAAGTGACTCTCAGGCAAAGTACGAGGGGGTAAAGTGGAATTTACCCTATATTTATAAATATGCTATATAAACCTACATATACAAGTTTTTATTTATATATAATTTTTTTTTTATATTTTCATACATATATATTCAAAATAAATATTATTAACAACTACTAATTTGCACTTAATTATTAAATCATGTAAATAATTAGGGAAGCAATTTTTATTGGAAAATTAACTAATGTTTCTAAATTAGGGATAATTAGCTGAAAGCTCCTTCTTCCTAATTTTAAAAGCAACTAGGTAGTATTTTTCCCGTATAGATGCGAAAGCTTAATAGAGAAGACCTTGTGCAATATGCACAAATTAATGAAGTTTCAAACTCCAGATAAATATCAATAAAAAAGAACTCCGGATAAATGGCAAAGAGAGACGTGCACGTACACACATGAACTTTAATCCGTTGAATATTGTATTGGTTAACGTTGTTTTCCATAGAGTACTTTACTATACAACTAACTAGCTAGTAGTGTTGCCAAACTATTGCTTTCTTTGTTGGTTTTATTATTCTTAATTGCTACTTGAAAAATAATAAATTTCAATATGAAATGTTATTTTTTTAGAATCTAATAGGATATTAGAAGATTGTGCCGTCTATTATTTCTATTATTGTGCGTGACGACATTAAAAGACGAAATTTAAATCGGACGGTCCATCTACATTTCTAAAATATATTCAACTTATTATATGACATGTGGAGATATGCCTTGTTTTAATTAGGTGTGACTTAACCATTGAAGTTATTGTATGGTTAGATTGATATGTTAGGTGCTTTCGGT